ACAACTAAACAGTTACCAAAACACAACAATAGCAAACAAAAGAGACACCAAAACACTACAACAACAACTAAAGAGATACCAAAACACAACAACAGCAACTAAGGAGATACCAAAACACAACAACAACAACTAAAGAGTTACCAAAACACAACAACCACAACTAAAGAGATACCAAACACAACAATAGCAAGAAAAGAGATAACCAAACACAACAACAGCAACAGGGCCGTAACCAAACACAACAACAGCAACTAAAGAGATACCAAAACACAACAACAGCAACTAAGGAGATACCAAAACACAACAACCAGAACTAAAGAGATACCAAACACAACAATAGCGAGAAAAGAGATAACCAAACACAACAACAGAAAAAGGGCCGTAACAAAACACAATAACAGCAACAGGGCCGTTACCAAACACAACAACAGCAACAGGGCCGTAACCAAACACAACAACAGAAAAGATACCAAAGTCCAACAAACAGAAATGATACCAAAACACAACAACAGCAACAGGGCCGTAACCAAACACAACAACAGCAACAACAGAAAAGATACCAAAGTCCAACAAACAGAAGTGACCAAAACACAACAACGGGTAATGAGGTGATACAAAATACACAACAAAGCCAACAGATGTGATTCCAAAACACAACAACCGGAATAGAAGAGACACGAAAACACAACAACAGCAACAGATGTGATACCAAATCAAAACAACAGCAACAGATGGGATACCAAAAAAACCACAAGAGCAGGCACGGAAGAAATATTCAAACAAAACAACATGAATAGAAGAGACACCAAAACACAACAACATCAACAGAACAGACAGCAAAACACAAACAACAACAGGAACAGAAAAGACAACGAAACACAATAAGGGCTGCATAGGCGATACCAAAACACAACAACATTGAACTCAAGATATACCAGAAAGCACAGACAGAAAACAGAAGAGATACCAAAAGGCAGCAACAGAAACAAAAAGGATATTACAGCACCACAACCTGAACAGAAGAGTCACTAAAACACAACAACCGCAAATGAAAAGACACAAAAACACAACAACAGGAACACAGGAGATACAAAAAGGCGACAACAGAATCAGAAGAGATACCAAAATGTAACAACAGGAACAGAAGAGATACCAACACAGATAATAAAAACAAAAGCAGGTAGAGAAAAGCTAAAACGGGCTACAACAGCAATTACTCGACACAAAGACCAGTAAATAACACTTAAAAACAACACCACGAACTCAGGAATTGCTTATGTAACAACAAATTTCAACAGATAAAGCATGACAAGGGCAAATTGAATTTGGTCTAGGACATTAATTGAATACGTGATATTATTTATCAATCATTGAAAGATATAAAAAATAAACCAGACTCTCGATCAGGTTGAATGATGTATATACTGTATACAGGGTAGCATAAGAGGCATTGCAATTAGATAAACTGTATACATGGTAAGTTAATTCCTATGTAATTGTATACACTGTTCACAAAAAAGGATAGTTCCTATGTTATTGTATGCTCTGTACACAGGGTTACGTAAGTGTCTTTGTATACAAGGTATCATTAGTTCCTACGTAATTGTATGTTCTGTACACAGGGTAACATTAGTTCCTACGTAATTGTATGTTCTGTACACAGGATAAAGTTAGTTCCTATGTAAGTGTATGTACTGTACACAGGGTAACATTAGTTCATACGTAATTGTATGTTCTGTACACAGGGTAAAATTAGTTCCTACATAATTGTATGTTCTGTAGACAGGATAAAGTTAGTTCCTATGTAAGTGTTTGTACTGTACACAGGGTAACATAAGTTCCTATGTGAGTGTATGTTCTGTACACAGGGTAACGTAAGTTCCTATGTAATTGTATGTACTGTACCCAGGGTAAAGTTAGTTCCTACGTAAGTGTATGTACTGTACACAGGGTAACATTAGTTCCTATGTAAGTGTATGTACTATACACATGGTTACGTACATTCTTATGTAATTGTATGTACTGTAAACAGGGTAACATTAGTTCCTACGTAAGTGTATGTACTGTAAACAGGGTAACATTGGTTCCTATGTTATTGTATGTACTGTACACAGGGTAACGTAAGTACATATGTAAGTGTATGTTCTGTGGACAGGGTAACATTAGTTCCTACGTAAGTGTATGTACTGTACACATGGTAACGTTAGTTCCTATGTAATTGTATGTTCTGTACACAGGGTAACATTAGTTCCTATGTAAGTGTATGTACTGTACACAGGGTAACGTTAGTTCCTATGTAAGTGTATGTACTGTACACAGGGTAACGTAAGTTCCTATGTATTACTGTACACAGCGTAAATTTAGCAGCAAAATATTGTTTATATCTTTTCCAACATGATAAAATAACATCACTTTTTTTACAAGAACGGTTACGTTTATAATGCTTGAAATAAAAATTCAACACGTCATGATATAGTCCTATTTTGCGAAAGAAAATGGAATCGAATTTAGATACAGTATAATGAGTTTTGTTACCTAGCCTTAGTAGAAACAAAGCCCAGTAAATTAATAATATCCAACTGTTCTTTAAAGTAAAGTTGGATTGATCCTATTTCTAGGGAGATTCTGGCGGCCCACTGGTGTGCAAGAACCAACAGAATCGATGGGAACTTATTGGAGTGACAAGCTTTGGAGACCCCTCCTGTCTGAACTCAGAAATCACAGATATATATGAGGGCGTGATCCCTCACTTGGACTTTATCTACAAAAACACTGGTGAGTGCTGTAGTGAATTATAGGGAATGGCTCAAGGTAACCAAATGGCTAATTGAAATTGAATCGCGGAAGATGCTAAGAATGATTGCAGTTAATTAAGAGAGAGACGTTAATTCCAAATCCAGGCATAAAAAGGCCTGATTTCAAACATTCCAAACATCATTTGTCTTCTGGATAACCGAACTACTCGGTAGTGTAGAGGACGTTCAACCAATCAACCAATTAACCAACCAATCAAATAACCAACCAACCAATCAATCAATCAAACGTTCCAATTAATTGATACATGGGATAACTCTATACAGTTTGTCACAGCATTTAAGTCAAAAGGATTCAATATAGTCGGAGAAGGCTTCCTCCTCAGTATCTAGGGGTTATTCTCACTTTCGCTCTCTACAACCCTGGAATATGTCATAACAACGTCGAAGGCTCAATGTGCAGTACCTTGTGGATGAGACGAGAAGACTAGATTGGTCCTTTGATGTACATCAAACAAATCTCGCGGTCGCGAACGGTTAAAATTGACAGGCTTTGAAGACGGGCATCGCTGCTTTGTAATCTTCAAAGGAAAAGTATCAGCTTAGTGATTGGTAAGGGTTGTTTTACCTAACACCAATCAAAAAGCAGGCCGCGTGCCTTCAATTTTGCTATGACATATTACAGGGGTGTAGAGAGCGAAAGTGAGCATAACCCCTGGATATCGTAGATGGGGAAGGCTTATACTGTGCAGCGGTGACATATCGACGTAGGGATTATATTTGACATCCTAGAAGGCTGATCATAAGTGGAGTAACGTTTGAGATTAGCGAGGGCTAATCCTATGTGGGCGTTACATTTGAGGTCAAAGAGTACTTATCCTGTGTTAGGGCATATCATATTTAAGGTCAGAGAAAGCTTATTCTGGATGGGGGATACGATTAACATCAGAGAAGGCAAATCCTGTGCAGAAGATTACTTTTGAGATCAGAGATGGTTTATCATTGGAGTGGGTTACATTTGACAAATGAGAATGATAATCTTGGGTCAGGGGTTACATCAGTGGTCAGGGAAGGCTAATCTTTGGCAGAGGCTAGGTTTGAAATCAGAGAAGGCTAATAGTTGGTGGGATTACATTAAATATCAGAAAAGGGTAATCTTGGCTGGGCAGGGAAGGGTAATCCAGGGTGGGGATTACAGGAGAGATCGAAGAAAACTAATCATAGGCTGGGGTTACATTTGAATTCTGGGGATTGGTTATACTGGGTGGGGGTTACATTTGAGATCTGAGAAGGATTATGCTGGGTGGGGGTTACATTTGAGATCATGGTTGAGAATTACATTTGACATCAAAGAAGGGTTATCCGTAGTTTTTGTATTACATTTGAGATCAGGGAAGGGTAATGCTGGGTTGGGGATATATTTTGGAATAAGGAATGCTAATTCTTGTTTGGGGTTACATTTGAGATCAGAGAAGGGTATTTATTTCGTTCGTGTTAAGATCAAGTACGCTTATACATGGTAGTACATGTTGAGATCAAGGACTCTGGAGCTCATTGTGAGATCAAGGTTGCCAATATATGGAAGTTCGTGTTGAGATCAGGGTGTTAATACATATACAAGACTACACACTTGTGTTTTTTTAACGAATCAGAAAGCACGAGTTTATTGCGCGGACGAATATATTCACGAGTGCGCGGAGCGCAGGGGTGATTATATACGTCCGCACACTAAATGAGTGCTTTCTGATTCGTGAGAAAAACACAAGTGTGAGGTCTTGCTTTTATCACATACCTTTCGTATTTGGTAGAGATCGATACAAAGATTTTATAAACTTTGATATTTTTTTTGCAAATACCGATTTTTTTTCATTTACCATGACAAAGGGATTCCCATTAAAAGTAGTTCCGGCTAGTAGGTAAATACAGCATTCCGTATTGCACATGTGCAATACAGAATGTTGTATTTCATGGTCCGAAAATTGCTTGTATTACTATAACAAGATTCAAAAGGTATGTGATAAATGGTGATAAGTCATACCGTGGAAGAGAATGACATTGCATGGTAGAATAGGATCATAATACACAAGGTCTCGGCTCTTTGGCACAGTGGTTCATGTTAATTATGTTGTGACAATTCGAGAATATTGCTCTGTGATTGCTTTATCTGTTGAATCTTTCTAAAGCTACTCCTTTAAAATGAGTGAATATATTTTGAATAATGTTGTTCGAAGCATCTGCTGGCAAAGGGTTCATTTTATGCCAGATGTTACCGAAAAATCAGTGTGATTCCAGCATGCTTATGAATTATTTTTTCTCAACAAATCGTTTCAAAGCATTGTTTTTGGTGGTGTTTTACCAAGTTTCCAGTATGTTTGTTTTAATTATATTGCAGACCTGAACCCGTAAGCACTCTGGGCCTAACCGTGATGTCTTCGAATCGTCCATTTATTGTCCGTGTCTGTATCAACATGAAGTTTATCTCGGGAAATCCTAACACCAAATGGATATAAACATGTTCCCGTTTCATAACCACACATACTGCATTTTTTCGATGCAAAATACTATGCTTTTTCTTCAGACATCTCCTGACCTTAAATTCTTCTGTTTGTAACTAGCCACCACTATCGTGATTATCAATGTACCTTTTGTGACCATCAGTATACCTTTGTGACCATCAGTATACCTTTTGTAACCATCAGTATACCTTTTGTGACCATCAGTATACATTTTGTGACCATCAATGTACCTTTTGTGACCATCAATGTACCTATTGTGACCATCAGTATACCTTTTGTGACCATCAGTATACATTTTGTGACCATCAATGTACCTTTTGTGACCATCAATGTTCCTTTTGTGACCATCAATATACCTTTTGTGACCATCAGTATACCTTTTATGACCATCAATTTACCTTTTGTGACCATCAGTATACCTTTGTGACCATCAGTATACCTTCTGTAACCATCAGTATACCTTTTGTGACCATCAGTATACATTTTGTGACCATCAATGTACCTTTTGTGACCATCAATATTCCTTTTGTGACCATCAATTTACCTTTTGTGACCATCAATGTACCTTTTGTGACCATCAATATACCTTTTGTGACCATCAATTTACCTTTTGTGACCATCAATTTACCTTTTGTGACCATCAATGTACCTTTTGAAAAGTGGATTTCCACAGGGACTGTGTATAGTATTGAATTATAAGGATTAACTTTAATATATTTTTTATGTTATGGAGCTATAACACAAAAAACCGGATTGCACTCTCATCATAACCTAAAAAATATATTCAAGTTAATCCTTAAGTATTTCAAATGATTTTTTTCTTAGGGACTCAAGCCTCTAAGGGAAATCACATTATCATCACGTCTTATGTAAATATAATTAACTAAATGTTTACAACATATTAATATTTTCGGAATAGAAAATGTTTCATTATCCATATAATGTTTTTTGGTGCTTTAAGTAAGAAATGTAATTTTGGATCCGGAAGCTGAGGACACGTGCATCGACCATAGTGTTAGTGATGTACTTTTAACGTGCAAAAGAAGTGATGGCAGGAGTTTATTTAGGTCAACTGAGTAAGATACATTGAAGTTATCATGTTATCAAGTCGCCTTAATTATTACGATAGCGAGACAATAATAAGTATCCCGATCTCCTAAGTAAAACTTGTGAGATAATGTTGGCGACATAATTATCTGGAATTAACTCAACTGGTGGCACGAATATGCCACCTTAAAATATATACATTGTATGTAAAATACGTAGAAATAAATCCATGCCACACGTCAATATGTATTTTTATGTAAAACAATATTTTTTACTAGCTATAACTATATGACAAGTTTTATTAAAGTTTTCTAATCGTATGTATAAATAGCTCTTAGAGTTTTGTCAGTTTTTCCATTCGTTGGGTTTGTGAAGACAACGTGAATAATAAATCTAACTGTGACGTCAAATTCTCAGGTATTTAAAAAAAAAATGTGATCACCTTTTATAGATTATAGCAAGAATCCAGTCAGACCAAATACTTCTTGGGGAAAGTATTGAAAATATTGAAAAACGTGATTGATAGAATTCTGAGCATAGGCATTGTCTATAAAGTCACGGATATAACAGGTGTGGTATAAGCATGGGACAACATTCTAAATGTTGAAATAGACAGAAAATGTACATAAATATGTGTGTATATATGCATAGATAAATATAATATATATATATTCTAGAATGAACCTTGTAAGATATATAAATATATATGGCTGTACCACGGAAAGCTGTGTGGTTAGTATGGGAGGAATTAAGGAGTAAATTTTATTGAAATCAAAAGAAAACTGCAATATTTAGCACTGTGATCCCCTTGCCCTCCTTCTGTCGGTGGAGACTTAGACAGTTCGGTGAGATATAGACAGTCAAAGGAGATCTAGACAGTCAAAGGAGATCTAGACAGTCAAAGGAGATTTACATAGTCGGGGGAGATTTAGACGGGAGGGAGGGGGGGCGATCTGGACAGTCAAAGGAGATCTAGACGGTCAAAGGAGATTTACATAGTCGGGGGAGATTTAGACAGTCGGGAGAAGGGGGGCGGATCTGGACAGTCCGAGGAGATCTAGACAGTCAAAGGAGATTTACATAGTCGGGGGAGATTTAGACACTCCGAGGAGATCTAGACAGTCAAAGGAGATTTACACAGTTGGGGGAGATTTAGACAGTCCGAGGAGATTTAGACAGTCCGAGCGAATTTAGACAGTCGGGGGAGATCTGGACAGTCGGAGGAGAACTAGACAGTCAAAGGAGATTTACACAGTCGGGGAAGATTTAGACAGTCGGGAGGGGGGGGGGGGATCTGGACAGTCCGAGGAGATCTAGACAGTCAAAGGAGATTTACATAGTCGGGGGATATTTAGACAGTCTTAGGGGTTCATGTTTGTAAAATCATGATGTATTTCGTATATCTTGCATAAAATGCTTTATGTCTAAAATGAAGAGGATGTACATAATATAAAACATAGCGTGCTAAATATAGAAATATTAATATAACTAGGCAGTGTATTGAAAATTATAAGTAAATAGACCAATACAGTGAGAGAACAAATGTGGTCTGCTTGTTAATATATTGACATGGGCATGATAGAGTGGTATCACAATAGATCTTGTAACGTTATGGACGGCTCGTTTCGATTATGTTATGGGAGACAACTCCAACGACAACATGAGTAATAGGAAAATCAAAAGGTAGTTTCATGAAAAAAACAGACGTCAATGTTAATATGAACGGCTGTTTTGGGTTCACGTGCTACACAAATCAAAAATCAAATTCAGAATTAATATTTCTTCACCCCTAACTCTATCATCAAGCTGGTGTACAATTAATTATTGATTTTTATTGTTGTTTAAAATGTTAAACAAACAAATAACGCTGGTTTTAATATACATGTAGTTGAATGAAGCTTGATAACAAGGGGAGATCATCCTGTATTAAGAAACCACAGTCAGGAATTTTATAATGTGACTTTTTATTGTAGATGATCCGCTATTTTCATAGGTTTGTAGTTTAAGTTAACATGAATATACCTGCAATGGAATATTAAATAAGTGGTTTCTTAACACAAGATATATATCTCTCATTTCAAGCAAATTTTATTGTTCCTCAAAGTAAGCAATTTTTGAGAACATCATGAAATACAATTGTTTACAAAATTGCATATCAAATCAATACTTTTTCTTTTCAAAACAGATGTCAACTTTACGAAAGATGCGGTTGGCAATCTGTATCTGAATCATCTAACATTTGAGTATGCCAAAGTTACTCTATTGTGGCAGACATCACATTTCTCAAGGTGTTAAGCATGACGAAATTTGTAAAACAACACTCCTGTATAGTCCCTTTCCTACCTCCTTGTTGAAGGTACACACAAAAAAAGCCTATGTTACAAGAAATGTTGGTTTACAGGTTACCTAGCTTGGCCAGAACTGCTTGTCTTTGTTGTTACGTACAGCAGTGGTAGTCGGTACCAACCTCACACCTGATTATCTACACTAAACGCTTTAATACATTGCTGCACTATTTGTTGACGTATTTGTTTATATGTACACCAATAAATCTTCTTAAATCTACTGGTATCGTCTTTTGTTGTTTTCGTTCAGTTCAATACCTTATTTTATCCTAAAAAGAAAACGGATCATCTCTGAACGATGACATAAGCTTAACCTGTCGACAAAATAAAACTCTTTGCGAAAATCTACAAAACAACAATACAATCTTGTCCTAGATGACAATGTTTTGTTATAATAGTATGTAATACAAATATAGCATCTATCGTACTCACTTCCGGACGAAATCCGATTGTGTATCTGTTGAAATATCATATTTTGTACAAACATCTAAAATACGTTTATTAAGCATAGAAGTAAAAAGTTTACTAAGACAACTTATTAAACTGATGCCTCGAAAGTTATTATGGTCGCTACGTGTACCTTTTTATGAACAGGAATAATAATAGCAGATGACCAATTTGCAGAAAAACAACCGGCTTCTAAAATATTGTTAAACAACATACACAAATTGGAAAGGAGTAATTCTTCACAGTTAATAAAGCATTCACTTAACAAACCATCCCGTCCATGGGGCTTTGCCACATTTCAAATTTCGAATAGCAGATTTTACTTCATTAAAAGGAATCGATGCATCTAGTTCATCATACATAATATCTTTATCAATGAAAATGTTGTCCTGTTGAATTGAGTCATCATCGTTTTGTACATTTGACATTTTTTTAAAATGATCATATAGCTGCTCGCCTGTCAATAATGGCGAATTACCTTTTTTCTTAGCAAACTTTCTGTAAAAATACCTAGGATTGTGTTTTATCATATGTTCCAGCATGTCACCTTCAGTACTTAAGTATTGCCTCTTAGACTTAGCTTCCATGTTTTATATTCCTTTTCCTTACTAATAAGAACAGCATGAGTAGTATGACATTTGTTACTATTAAAACTATGCAATGCATCCAAGTTCAAGTTCAAGTTCTAGTTCTTTATTAGTTTAAGTCGGTTGACTTATCAGTTATAACATATATACAAAACAATACAGAGACAACATACAATATGATACACACACACACACACCGTGGAGAGTGAACACTAACCAGCAATCTGCTCAGATCTCCTTTTGTTTGCTTGTATTAAAAATTTGCCAAGATTTCGAATGTCGGATATATTCTCACATGTAATTAAGTAGTTGAATTAGTTTATACATGCTTGTATGCCTTAGATAATATTTCTGTATTAGTTTCAACCTTATATCAATATAGCAAGGACATTTTAAAATGAAATGGAACTCATCCTCGACATCATTCAGGTCACATACTGTACACAATCTGTTTTGTCTTTCAGTTCTATTATATCTGCCACACTCAATATTTAACTTTTAGTGGCGCACTTGAACAGAAGTATGGTAATATTTAAGTTCAAGTTTGTGGCGTTTATTTTGAGCAAGCCCCATCTTTTTTGGTTTTTTGTACACATTATTATAAAAAAACAACACAAAGATGTATACATATGTTCGATTCCTGGCATTTAGAATAAATGCTCATTTTCGACAATTTAAGTATTTGTCATTTTATCGACAAAAAACATAGCAGAGTATAACCTGTGTGTGTTGTTGGGTTTAGTACAGACTAAACACGATAATATAATTAACTTATGTGCAGACATTCGAATTTTACATATTTGTTTTAAATAATTTATATTTACAGGTTTTGATAAATAATACTGGAGACCAAAATTACACACATATTTATACAATGCTCTTTTGGGAGAAGATTGAATTTTTTTCAAAACATTCCTGTCTGAATATGTCACAAAGACGTTCTTTTATAATATGAAAAGTGTTATTATTTAAACTGGAGGATTCCCACACATTTCCAAGACCAATTCTGTATAACTTTTGTTTTAAACTCATTAACCAAATGTCATTATTACAAAGCATATCATCATAGCATGACCTTAGAATACAATTTCCTACATTTCTCAGTTTTATCCAATATTTGAATATTCGTAATTTTCTAACTATTTTCATGGAATATCTTCCAAGTTCATAATACACCATAACATTACTAGTATTTTTTATGTAATCCTAATATTTGTTTGCAGAATCTCACATGCAATTTTTCGATATCTGGTGCGGCATGGAAGCCCCATACTTCTCCTCCATAACATAAAACACTATTTACATAAGTATCAAAAACAGACAATTGAGTTTCTATATTAAAATATTTTTTCTTACAAACATTTAATAATGCAAACAAAGCTTTTCTCCCCTGGTCAGCAACTTGCTTTTGAGTTTGCCTAAATTTTCCGTTATTATTTGGTATAATTTGCAAGAGAGTCTAACATTGTTTGCAAACCCTCTGGTGTTTCAGATATAATCACCATATCATCTGCATACATAAGTAAAAACATATTGATATCCTGTATTTCAATAGATGGACAATTATCTGATAAAAACTGCATTTCACAATTATTTACATATATAGCAAACAAAAGGGGTGATAATATTTCCCCCTGAAATAATCCGTTTTCAATATCAAAAAATTCGGACACAGTACCATTATATTTAACACAACATTTCACACTTTAATATAACGATCTGATTACTTTAAGAACTTTACCTCCTACACCTTCTTTGATCATTTTATACCATAAATTCTGTCTGTTAATAAGATCAAACGCTTTTGTATAATCTATAAAACAACAATAGAGACGTTTTTCGTTTTTAAAGGACGATTAATTAAAGATTGTAAAGCGAAAATGGCGTCTACAGTAAAAACGTTTTTTTCTAAATCCAAACTAGGCGTCTGTTACTTTATTATATTTCATTTCAAACGATACAAGTCTTTCATTTACGATAGCAGTAAAAAGTTTACCAGCACAACTTAACAAGGTGATACCTCAATAGCTGTCCGTGTTATTAATGTCACCTTTTTTAAAAACACGAACTATATTACCAAGTGACCACGAAACAACCAGACTTGAATATATTATTGAATAATAACAATAAACATGGCATTAAAATATCTTTGCAATTAATAAAATGTTCATTAAAAATTCCATCTTGTCCACGAGGTTTGTTTGCTTTAAGGTTTTTAATAGCAGCCATAATCTCAATCTCTGTTATTTCTATATCTAGTTCATGAGGAAGTAGATCATCAGAATTCACGTCATAATCATTAAGAAAGTCGGATATGTCCCTGTCTATCGCGTGCTTACCAGATCCCAATGAATAAAAGTGATGGTAAAAATCTTCTACATTTAAATCCACATTTAAATTTTGTTTACGTTTCTTAAACGTTTTGTAAAAAGTTCGCGGGTTGTACTTTCTTGAATAATTTAACATGTCTCCTTGCTGACATTTATACTCTCTTTTTAACTAATATTCAAGTTTCTTATACATTTTTTTTATTTACTAGTAATTCTCTGTTCACATTAGATTTACAATCATTAAAAGTATACAGTGCATATTTATAATCTCTATATCGTTGTTTACAGGAATCCGTAAACCATGGCTTATCTCCCTTGATAACATTAGTCTGCTTACATGTGCCTTTATGTATGGTTGTTTGGGTACAATAAGGAATAATTAACTCATTTAACATACTTGTAAAATTGTCAACACATGCATCAATTCCTTCTTGGTCCCATTCAGTAGTATCACATGACTGTATTAGCCTATCAATGTTTTCTTGCAATAACTCACAAATTCTACTATCATTTTCTTCATTCCATCTTATAATTGTTTGTCTCTTGTCATTTAAATTATTACTTTGTTTTTCATTTTCATCTCCTTTACAATTATAACACAATGAAAAAGTAACCGGTGCGTGATCAGAAAAGGGACTAAACTCACCTGTCTTCAATGTTTTGATAAAATCTACATTATTGTCTTGAACTTAAACATAATCAATAAGACTAGTTCCATTTCTATTATAGACTGTAATATCTCCCTTAGGATACCAGGAGGTCTACCATTAACAATTCTAAGACCGGTTGATTTACAAACATCTAATAATTGTCTACCAAACTGATTTTCATGTTTATCTACGTTAAAACGTTTGGGCATCTTTACATCTGGTATATAATTAAAAATATTTGATACATATCAGCAGAAAATTCTCCTATTCGATCAAATCTAATAAAATCATCAGCCTCACCAGTTCTACTATTAAAATCACCCATGACAACGATATCACCATGTGTATGGTATTTATATACACATTCTTCTAGACATATAAATGGATCTATATCATTTTTTTCATAAAAAGTGCTGTTTATAGTCAGGAAGTAACATGCAAATATATAAGAATCATGTTTAGTCTCAATTTCGCCAATGCATTTCAACTTCAAAATCACAATGCAATCTAAAATATTTTCAACAAATGTACAAATTTCACTCAATCCATCTTTAACATAATTACCAGGCAGTGATATATCATCGTCCGGTTTAACCCAGCACTCATATAGACAAATTATATCATAGATTTACACTTTCAATAAATTTCGGATCTTTAAGTTTGTCACATACTGACCTACAAATGTTCCATGACATAATTGTCACACTCTCCTGCCTGTCCTGTGTACATTGTCCGCTCTCACCCGGTTAACCTTTACTGAAAAGAGGTTTTCCAGAAGAAACCTCAACAGGCTGTGGTTCCTTGGCCGACAACTGCCCATCACAGACGGAAGTACTACAGGGTGCGCTTCCGCTGCTAACTGCCTCAGTGAATGGCACTTCTGTGGTGCTAGGTTGCCCAGTGACAACATTGTCAGGCCTCCGTTTCTCGACTGACAGCTGACCCCCACTGCCAGGAGTACTAGGAGGCTCGCTTTCCCTACCAAAAAAGTAGCTAACCCATCACCTATATGTGGTTGCTTAGCGACAGCACCAGTGGGTCTCCTTTCCTCGACTGACAGCTGACCACAACTGCCAGGAGTACTAGGAGGCACACTTAACCATTTCTCAAACTGACCACTGACCATCCCCCGTGGAACCATATCGACAGGCCTCCGTTCCTCGACTGACAGCTGTCCACCACTGCCAGGAGTACTAGGAGGCACACT